GAAGAAGATCAGAGTAAATAAAAGAGAAAATGTTAGGTAATATTAACTTATACAAACGTAAACAAAATATATATTATATTTACACACATGTTAGCAATTCATTAACTTGTCTACAGCACTGAGATCAACAATAGCAAAAGGATACGTACCATTGCCATTGCCGCTTTCATGGGCCGAAAAAAGGGCAACTTCAATTCCTCCACTTGTTATGCTGTACTGGCAACACGCCCAACAGCTCAGATCAGCAGATCTCAACAGAGCAACAAAAAGGTAAGCTTAAAGTTGTCAGTGGTGACAAAAAAAACATCATCACCGCAAAAGATGAGTCCATCATCTCTAAGCCGACCGTGTTAAATAGCTTTATAAAGAAACAATGAAAACCAAGCCATATTCATTTAAAGGAAATGCCCACAGCTCCAAGAAATACCAAGTGTTAGATCATATCGATTCCCTTATATCTATAAAGAAGTTACATACGGACAGGACTCACGTTTTCACGTCCGAAACATGATTCATAGTCGATCTACCTCTCAGACTCCAATCATATGCCTCATCTATAGTTAATTTATACGTTAAGAGTATCGTACGACCTCACACCTCACTCATCTAATACCACAAGTGTCAACCAACCAATATGACGTCTCATTTTCTTTCGACACATTACTTACTTTTCACAAGAATATACAATACTTTCGGCCTATACTGGAATATGTGAAGTACTCGTTGAAAGTAAAAAGATTCCCATCCCGAATAGACACAAAGCGTTTTGAACTATTAAAAATGTTTTATAATACTGTGTTCTGCTGCGGTGCCAATTTCCAAATATTTGAACACCCAATTACCAGAGGTTAGTCCCAAGGAAAATGCGATAAATTTACGCATGCTTAGATGAAAGAGGAAAAGTAAACAAAAAGGAGTACCTAACAACCATAGTCAACGATTAGATTGACGACACAAGGTCAATGTTGTACAAACCAATTTTTGATTGCCCATCCATTGATTGAAAATAATTAGCGCCACCAGCTCAATCATCAACATAATCCACATGGCGTGTTAACTTCTACCTCATAAACAACAACAGCCCGACTTCCTCATGAAGCGATGAAATAACTCCACATCCAAACCCATCGCTGGACGCCGTTGGTTTTATGAGCGGTTTCCATTGTGCCTGGCAACTGTGGGCTTTTCCTTTCGAAGCGCGCATAAAACAGCGCTTCCTAATGGCGGTGGGGGGGGGGGGCAGGCTGCCCAGCGAAGACAGCCTCTGCACCCTTCCCCCCCCAGGCTTCCCTAACGATGTGGAGCGCGGGTTAGTAGCTTCCTATTAACTGTATTATGGATTTAATGCGACCCGTCGCCCTTTTATTCACGGTGAACGCTTCCCAAAGCCAGTGCATTTTAAAAAAAACCAGCACAGTAAAATAAATGGGACGCCGGGCGAAATTATAGTCGTCAATAAAATCGCATAGCAGGTGCATTATTCTGTATAGGAGATTATCTAGGCTACTATAAGCAAAAAAAAGAGAAAGTGGAGAGCAGTGACATATTCTCAGACTCGCAAAGGCCCACCGGAGCCTGCCCGAGTTACCCAATCTGCGTCAATTGAGCTGCCCTCGATCACATTAATGATGAATGTCGTATGATCTACATCCTGTTAATTTACATTTGTGAATTCCGCCCGGAAATCCTATCCCCGCGCTTGAGATAGTGCTAGCGACTTGCACTATGTAAAACAAGCAAATTTCTTGCAAAGAACAAGTTTTAAGAAATTTAAAGTAATGAGAAACTACTCTCCTTGGTTTTTTTTATAGGGCGGCAAACGTACGCATATCTTTTTTTGTAAAGCTTAAGAGAGCCCGGTACAACCCCATTCACTCCTCCCGTGCGGCCACGCCCACGCACCGAGATCGGGCGGCTAGCGACAATGGAGCCGGTGTTTCTCCAGATGCAGAGACTCACCGCCACGGAATATAGCTCCTGGCTAAAGATTGGGACTGCTGCACAGGTTAATGAGGAGAGATACTGCGGAGCAAAGCGAGAGTCGGAAGCTAAAAAAGTCGCGTGCCGAGGCCGTTCCGATACAAGGAAAACAATGGGAAGCAATGACGGACTTCAGAAACATAGATTTTTTTGTAATTAAGAAGTAATGGCACCAGTATTTACTTATACATTTCAAACATTTTGTGCGTGTTTACGTCAAAAGATCGTCGGTTTTTGAAGTGTGGCAAGAACATATATTTAGTCAGAAAGTCAGAATTATCACGTAGGGTATCACCGAACAGTCTGAATTTGCGGTTCTTTCCGTAAGGGACACAGATGATCACGTCCTTTTTTCTATTTCACTAAGTTCAACTTTTACGAAGTTTTGCACCGATTGCACAACAGTTCCCAACATCGACAAATACTAAAACAAGATTTTAACATGATTATGGGCAGCCCTGTTTGAAAAGGCGGCTCCACACACGCGGCATTCGGCGAATCCCGAGCAACCACTTGCCGAATCCCGAGTAGTGTGGACGGGTCGCGTGCGATTCGCCGAGCGCCCAACATTCGGCATTCGCCCTACCCACCGCGTGTCGGTCTTTAGGGCGCATCAAAGGGAGCGAACATTCGCCAAATACATCAGCTGTTCTGGATTGGGCGAGCAGGAGCATTCTGCTCGGCGAATACCGAATGTGTGGAGCCGCCTTACGAGAATTCCAGAATTTAAACGAAGGGGTTAAGCATGGCGACGGTCTAGAACTTTTTTTGTCAGCATCAGATAAGCGTTGAATGTCAGAACTATCACTTAGGGTTTCACCAAAACAAAAGAGCAAGAAAACTACGTTGGGGCTTGCCTCCCCTCCCCCTCGTGGTATGCGTCGGCATGACGAGTGAGCTGGCTCGCCACGGAACGAGAGGGGAAGACGAGGATAAATCCGAGCAATGGGTGCCGGCTGCTGAGGATAGCTGCGAACGAGGACGCGAAGTTGAATTGAAATTGAATTGAATTATGCCTTATTTTACGTGGCGAGACTCAGGCCATTAGGCCTGCTCTTCCGTCTGACCACGCAAATTTCGCTACGCTCCTTTCACCAACTACCGGAGAAAGGAGGTATCTTGGGCGAGAAACAGGCGACTTGGATTTAGCTCGGAGGCGTCATTTAGGCTTGAGGATCTTTTACATGCAAGTAAATCTACGAACATGGGACAGCCGGCTTTACTTCCCCTCCGAAGGAAGGCGTACGAAGGATTTTTTCTCCCTTAAAAATCGGCTTCGGCTCCCACGGCTTCGATCGGGTTTGAACCCGCCAACTTGGGTACAACAGTCCAGTACGCTAACCGTTACACCATCGCCGCCGCATTGGGGTTGGGCTGGGGAATGCGATGCGACCTCGCTTCCCAGAGCATGCAAATGTTGGCAAATACGCAGCGAGCTGCGCGAGTCAAGGATTACAGTTCCGAGTTCAAAATGAGATAACGCCCAGCGAGGAAACAGTTGAAGAGGCAACTACGCGATGGAGATTATCTGGGTCGTGGGTGCAGGGAGAATTGTGCATCAATTCAAGATGTAAAAATGTTTACAAGTCGGTAAGTACAGAACAAAAAGGAAAAGTTTTTTCTCGAAATACTGTACTGATATATCGACACATCGCAAACAAAAGCAGGAGTGAAATTTATCTACATTTAGATACCAGGGCCAGACAATAAGAGTTTTTCTGTCGAAAAATTGCTGTATTTTGCCACAACAATACAATATTTTTTTTTAAATTATGCATTATTTAATTGTTAGTATGAACTACCAGGTCATTAGCGACCAACAATATTGTCGCAAAGGCCGCCTTAACGCCCGGCGTCCGTCATGAATAATAGAAACAAGTTAATGAGTTGTAGCAAAAACCGGCGCCATGAGTACGTCGAGTATTCAATTGATTGATCAATTATTGATTTCGGGCGCGTCAACAGCTAAGTAATTGTAGTGCGTGCTTTTTGCACGGGAAGTGGTGGTGATCTCCCGTCGCTAGATGGTGAGATCCGGCGCTGACCTATCGTCGGCAAGTGGGGTTTTCCCTAATGAGATACCTCCCACCAGCGGGACACAGCCCCAGCCGGGACAAGCTCTAAGCTCCCGACCGGTCTGCCGGGTTGTGTGGCAGTGTAGTGTTAAGCGTGTGAGGATAAGACAAGGAAGAGGAAGGAAAGGTCGCGCGCGGTCCGTGGCGCGTTTGTTAGGGTACTGCTCCAGTCTGGTGTTGGTCGGAGAAACCACAGATCTGTACAAAGGTGTTTCATAATGAATGTCAGGAACTTCTAGGGTACGCAAGGCGTTCTAAAACGAATACTTTTTCCTAATGCAAATATAGAGGGAAAAGTTTATATTACGGTGTTACACATGTTATATTTCCGCCCACATATCAGGCAACCCCATAGACAGGTGTTTGGAAGGTACATGAACTCTCTTCACTGCGTCAGAACGTGACATGCCGAACGTATGTACATAATCATTTGCAAAAAAAGCAGGGGCAAATATAAAATGCATAACTCCGTAATATATTTCCCTCCATATTTACATTGGCCACAAGTTATAAATTTTCAACCCTCTCCATTTTCAAAAAGTTCGTAACATTCAGGAGGCATACAGTAGAAAAGTGAGAAATTGGTCGAAGCAATTAAAGATATGAAGCACCACACACTGCTTGAAGTTTCCTCTCAGAGGTCATTGAGTGTGGTGCGAAAAAAATTTTTACTTAATAAAATCTATATTGTGTTTAATTATTTATTGTATTGAGTAGTATTTTTCTGTTTCAACTTAAACAGAACAATAAACTACATAACTGAGTTTACTTTTAACATGTACACGTGTTAAAAGAAAAGATCAGAGTAAATAAAAGAGAAAATGTTAGGTAATATTAACTTATACAAACGTAAACAAAATATATATTTATATTACACAATGTGTTACAATCACATACTGTGTCGTTCAGCACTGAGAGTCAACAATAGCAGAAGGGAATACGCACCCATTTGCCGTTGCCAGCTTTCATGGCGCCGAAAAGCAACTTCAATTCCTTCACTGTTATGCTGTAACTGGCCAACACGCCCAACATCTCGATCAGCAGATCTGCAACAAGAGGCAACAAAGGTAAGCTTAAAGTTTCAGTGGTGACAAAAAACATCATCACCTCAAAAGATGAGTCTCAGCCGATGTAATATAGCTTTATAAAGAAACAATGAAACAGTCCATATTCATTAAAGGAAATGATCCACATCTCAAGAAATACAAAGTGGTTAGATCATGATCGATCCCTGTATATCATAATCAAAGAAGTTAACGGACAGACTCACGTTTTGCCGAAAACGAATTTTTCGATTTCAGAAACTCAAAACGTGAATTATATATCGTGCACTACGTATCCAAGAGAGTAATTTATTACGTTTAGGAGTTAGGAAATCCACTTCATCGGAATAGGGGCCCACAAAAGGAGTTTTTCTTTCGACACATACTTACTTTTCACAACAATATTACAATACTTTCGCTATACTAGGAATATGTGAAGTACTCGTGAAAGTAAAAAGATTCCCATTCCGAATAGACAGCAATAAGCGTTTTGAATTATTAAAAATGTTATAATACTGTGTTCTGCTGCGAGCTGCCAATTTCCAAATATTTGCAACACAATTTCACAGAGGTTAGTCCAAGGAAATGCGATAATTTACGCATGACTTAATGAAAGAGGAAAGTAAACAAAAGGAGTACCTAACAACATAGTCAACGATCATTGACGACACAAAGGGTCAATGTTTACAACCAATTTTATTGGATTTCCCATTCATTATTGAAATAATTAGCGCACAGCTCAATCAGTCACATAATCCACATGGTGCGTGTTAACTTACTACCTCATAAACAACAACAGACGACTTCCTCTATGAAGCGATGAAATAACTCCACACCTCCAAACCCATCGCTGGGGACGCCGTTGGTTTTATGAGCGGTTTCCATTGTGCCTGGCAACTGTGGGCTTTTCCTTTCGGAAGCGCGCATAAAACAGCGCTCCTAATGGCGGGGGAGGGGGGGGCAGGCTGCCCAGCGAAACGAGCCTCTGCACCCCTTCCCCCCAGGCTTCCCTGAACGAATGGTGGGAGCGCGGGTTAGTAGCTTCCTATTAAATGTATTATTGAATAATGCGTCGCTTTATATGTGCCACGGTCGAACGCTTCTCCAAAGCAGGTGCATTTAAAAAAAAACAGGGACAGTAAAAAATGGACGTCGGGCGAATTTATGTCGCAATAAATCGCGAGGGGGCAGTTGTAGGGAATGCCAGCGAGGAAAAAGGAAGGGGGAAGCTCGCAAAGGCACGGCTGCAAGTTACGCATCTGCAGAGGCTGCATTAATTAATCTTGCAATTCCATTAATATTGAAATATTTGAGTTAATGGTTCCTCCAACATCCGGTGTGTATGTACAAGACTTGCACTATGTAAAACAAGCAAAATTTCTTGCAAAAGACAAGGTTTTAAAGAAATTAAAGTAATGAGAAACTACTTCTCTTGTTTTTTTATAGGCGCAAACGTAGGCATTTCTTTTGTTTCAACTCATACAATGCATTACCTGAGGCACGCATCAAAATGGTTATAGAAAGAGGTACGTGCAGAAACACACCACTATAACCTCACTTGAGATCACGTGACATCACGGTACCTCACGTCACGTTAGAAAAGTGTTGGGTGTTATTAGCAAGGTTGTTTTGTGAGCCTCAGCTGCACTAGTCTCACGTTACGTGTTATCACTTCACATCAATAGTATCCCACGTGATATCATGGTTTTGATACCGGTGAACACACACACATTTTTTGGCTCACGCGAGCTCACATTTTTTTTTCTATTTTTCTACGTTGATTCAAATTTTTGACAACTATGAAGGCAGACGGTTTAAAGTATTTTTTTCCCCGAAGAACTTGTTGAACTAGCACATTCCATACTAAAGGCTCAAACTAGAAAACTTAAAAAGAAATACAAACGCTATAAGCAACATCTACTTATACCACATGGGAATGCAATGTGTTTCTAAGTGCAATGTCACGGAACAAATATCATGCCTTCACGTCACGTGATGGTAGTATGTTTCCGGATTCAGTTACGCATTCGTCTAGCTGGAAAGGAAAACGATGGCCTACAGCAGCAAGTGGGAAACTACGTCACTACTGGTGTCCAGAATTCAAGTCCTCATTGCCTTGGACGTTTCTAGTCTGACCAGACTTCAGTCAATAATGTTCCGTTGAATTCTATCTAGCTCTAGTTGAAAATCCAACTACGTCAGAACTAGAACCCTAAGACCTTCCAGTCGGAGCCGCTGCAGAGACAACAGCAATACTGACTCTGAGCTAACTCAGCCGAAGCGTTGAGTCATGCCATTATCTCCAACCACTGCGTTGGCGGCGCTCTAAAACAAAACCTCGAGAGCAATGACGTGTTGATATTGGAGTGTGGGGTCTGGGGAATAGGGATACAGGCGATTAGTCGTGTTGCGGCAAAAATTAAATTCGAAATAAAATCGAAGTACTTTGGCAACGACATCGTTCATTTTATTGGGTGGGTATTACTTACGCTCGGGCTCATTGATGATGTATGGCTTAATCACCCAGCAATGCAGATGAGGACACACGAAATACCATGACGAATGTTACGTAGGAGTGCTTCAATAATCGGTTTTGCTTTTTTACAACGATCATTGTTTTCAAGTTTTTGCAAGATACAAATGCCTCTGGAGTGCAAATTATTGCCATAATTGTAATGCAATTAGCAGCTTTATTCATACACAATTTTAGAATCCGATTCTAATAACCATTGTGGCAATTTTCAATTTCTGCTAAAAAACTTACTGCTCTAATATCGTACAAGCCTGTATTAATGAATTTCTGATGAAAGTATTAGTTCTGACAAATAAAATTGAGAGATTTGTCGAAGATTCTAGTTTCGAAAAACGTCATCAACATTATTAGAGAGCTCTCTTGTGAATCCTGTAGGGAATAAGAGACACGAACTCTTGCAAGTAGGTAGCACACATTTAACACTATTTCGTAATATCAACCTTTCTGCATCATTTCCAAAATTTCGTTATTACACATCATCATCTTCATTATCATTTGACTTAACGGTGATATATTTATGTCAGGAATTCACGAGTGTCTTCCAATATAAATACTGCCCTTGACATCCTGCTGCATGTATCTCCACCTGCCACTGCTTCGCAACACTTTGCGGCTAGTATTTATACAACCACCGAGCAAAGCGGCTCAGGGCGTAGCGGACTGGGTTCGCATTCAGAAGACCCGGGTTCAATCGGGTTCATCCTCAGCGGGGTTTTCGTGGTTTCTCCCGGTCACCCAGGCAAAGGATGAGATGGTTCCACTGAATGGCTACGACAGCGAAACCAGCGTCGCTAGGCCAATTCGTTAACAACGTGCAGTCACGAAGTTTAAGCGAAGGTTAATCGCCGGTTCCTGGCTGGGTGAGCGACTAGCAACCCCCGGACAAACGGCGCCGCGGCTAATTGCCCTTTATAGGACGTACAAGTACAAGCTAAGTACAAGATACAAATAGAAACACTTACGCTGCCGCCTATGACTCACGGACCCATAGCAACACAACTGATTCGAGTTGGGGAGGAAGGGGGGCAAACGGGTAGTGTGCCCGACGTGGTTCGTACAATCGTCAACTGCCTTTCCTCCCCTGTGCGTACGTAGACTAACTTCTATCACGGTTTACCCACTTCCTATCGAGGTGAGGGGGAAAAAAGGACGGGACGAAACGGGACGAGAGGGATTTGATGGATTGATTGTTTTAGTGATTCCAAGCCCGTCAATTACCTGGGTCATAAATCCCGTATGTATAGTGCATATGTTTTGCTCGAGATGTGTTGGTGATCTTTCCATCGCCGTGTGGCGACATCCGGCGCTGACCTCCGTCAGCTAGCGGGTGTTTCCCCAACCGCAGGTCAGTAGTGAATGTTTACCCCGGGAGGAGACAGTTTTCTCCGCCCACAGGGTGGTGACATCCGGCGCTGATCTATCCGTCGGCTGTCAGGGTTTTACCCAAACAGGTACCTCCCTCCATCGGGGCTCAACCTCAGCTGAGACAAACTCTAAGCTCCCGGGCGGTGTCCCGGCATGCGAACTGGACGGAAAGATAATCTCTTTTAAGTCAAACAGAAAGGAAAGACCCGACCATGCTGTTACACAGAAGGGAAAGTTCCTCCCCTAGGCAGATTCGAACCCGCGACCAAAGACTTGGCATGGACCTGCGAGGGAGCATGCGCCTTACCGATCTGGGCTAACCAGTTCGTCATACTGACTCTTTGGAATGGCAACCCACATTTCAACCCACATTTCAGTCGTTTTGAGTGTTTGATGCCAAAGTTGCATATCTCCACGTATGTTTCTTCTTGTAGTAGCCAAATACACCTTGTCACACTGGCGACTTATTTTATTCGATTTTGCCACTTAGAACCTTGTCATTTCAACGGGTCAATATATTACAAAGTCTTTCTTCTATACCTCCTTTAATACTTCCTAAGAAAAGCATGTGTTAACATCAGTACAGTTAGAGTGCTTTCAGCGCACGGAACGCACACTTTCCGCTCGCATAAAAACAAACTACCAGAGATATTGCAAGGTCCACGAAGCCTTGTGGGGCGGCAGTAGCGCTGCCCCGCTGCCTTCGCTCCACGCAACGATTGCTTCTGGTCTGCGCCGGGGCGGG